ATTTAAAAGATCCATTTATGGATTGAAACAATCATTTAGATAGTGGTATTTGAGATTTCACAAAGCAATAACCTCATATGACTCCCAAATGATAGAGGAAGACCACTGTGTCTACATTAAGCAGTTTGAGGGTAATTTTGTCATATTATCCTTATATGTAAATGATATACTATTGGCCAGAAATAGTCTAGATTCGGTGGTGGCTATTAAAGAATGGCTTCCATCAAATTTTAAGATGAAAGATATGGGCGAAGCAGAGTATATACTTGGAGTTAAGATCCAAAAAGATAATTCAAAACGAATCCTCTCTCTTTCAAAAGAGGATTACATCAATAAGATTCTTGAGTGGTTTAACATGAAAGATTGCAATCCCATGAGTACTGCTGTTGCTATAGGAGTAGCCTTGAGTCCTGACATGTGTCCCAAAACCAAGTCTGACAAAAATAAGATGGAAAGAATTTTATATGCCAGTACTATTGGCAGTTTGATGTACATAATGATGTGTACAAGACTAGATATTTGTTATGCAGTGGGACTGGTGATCAGATTCCAGTCTAACTCCGGTGAAAAGCATTGGAAAGCAATAAAGAGAATCTTGAGATACTTAAAGGGCACTTCTGATTATGCATTATGCATTATGCATTATGCTACGAAGGAAGAAATCTGTGCCTTGTTGGGTACTCTGATACTGATGTAGGCGAACATGAAGAAGAACGAAGGTTAACTTTAGGTTATACCTTCTTGCTCAACAATGGTGCTATGTGTTGGAGCAGCAAGAAGCAAACGTGCATTGCTTTACATTCAATAGAAGCTGAGTTTATGGCATGCACTGCAACAGTGCAAGAGGCTTTATGGCTGAAAAGGTTTATAGAACACCTTGGATTTGGAAACAAGAGTACCAATCCAATGTTAGTATACTATGACAACACTGCAGCTATAGCCTATATCAAAGATCCCAAGTATCACAGCACAACAAGACCAAGCATATTGACATCAAGTATAATTTTGTTAGAGATTATATAGCATAAAAGATTGTTAGTGTACAATACATTTCAACCAAATGTATGGTAGCAGATCCCCTAATAAAGCCAATAGGCGAGAAAGTTTTTAAGCAACATATCCAAGCCCTTTTAAAGCAACCTATGGCCCTTGGCATGCGTAAAGTGTAATATACAGACCTTATATAATATGATTTTTATAACTAATAAAATTATATATTTTTCTGTCATCACTTTATGTATTTGTCCGAAAGTATACAATGTCTAGTATGTCGTACATGTTAAAAAGGTTGGCTTTCTCACACGGGCAACCACTTTTGATGCATAGGTGAAGTTAACAAATATGAGACATTTGTAACGTCCCAACTTTTAGGCATAGAAGTACCAGAAATAGCCTGAATTGGATAGGCTACTAGACCCCTTTTGAGCAAAAGTCCCAAAGATGAGAAAGGAAGTCAAAGCAGTTTTAACTCTATTATACATTTCAGGTATGCTCGAATTCATCAGCTTTTAACTCTTCTATTTGCTTGGCTAATCACATTAAAAGGTTGTTGTACCAATCACACTCTTCTATCTGCTTAACTACATCTTCAAGGTTATTGTATTGAAGGCATTCAATAAATTCTCATATCAATAATGGCCAAAAAGAAAAAACATAAGAAGCAAGACTTTCAAAGAAACAATTGCAGACCAAAAATAAACATGGCAAACTAACTTATTGAGCACAAAGATGTTGGCAAGCTAGTAATTCATTCATGGGAATACCTTCCACTCCTTTGTTTCCTACCATGAAAGAATTTCTTATGTTAATGGCCCATCTAATATCAACTTGGGAACATATAGTAGAGAAGGAGAAAGTATGAATACGTATAGATGGTTTCTATATATGGTGGGATGTTGACAGGCTATTGAATATAAAGTATTCTATGTGCTTGAGGTCAATGTTTGCTATGATTCATCCTACAATGGAGAGCAAAATATGTTTTGAGCTAAACTCATAGCAAGTTACATAACATTTGAGAAGTGGTCACTTGCTTAGGGATGATATTGCTTTACTAGACATACTAATTAAAAGAAGGTGACCTCGCTTTGTACAAACCAATATTGGGATGATAACAAACATATTAAGTGAAGAAATTGTTAGGGTTTGGGGTCACAATGAGATACACCACTTCATACCAATTAGAGCCGAATCAGTAAAATTCAATAGAAAACTAAATGGACTTTAATAAAGGATTAATCATGATTGTTTTAATGTTGTTCATATATTTGTTTATAGTGGCAACATATGTGAAGCTTATTTCCTTATATAAATATACTTCTTATTTCTTCATATAAATATACTATGAAGAACTAAGGAATTTATGCACAAACCATTTACACATCTATGTGGACCTTAGTTGCAACTTTTACAATAAAAGGTTTGAAGAATAATGGATTTTAACATACTGACCCAATGTTGAATATGCAAAAACAATTCAAGATCCATCACAATGATGCTTCAATTGATATCTACTACCATGGCTTTTCAAAGAAGGGTCCTATCTACAAATTTATTTTGATATGGACATGTAACCTTTGCAATAACCAATAAGGAGCTAGGGCTTAAAATCAACTTGCCTTTTTTAGGTATTCATCAAATGATTCTTGCTTCACAGAGCATTCTTCTTGTCCAAGAACAATGATAGGAGATAATATTTCTTCTAAATGAATTTGACATCCTTTTAACATCAACTTTCCTTTTTCAAGTATTTATCATATCTTTCTTGCTTCTTCAAATTTATTACTTGCTTGAGATTTAATTAGTAAACAAAAAGAAGTTCAAACATTCAAATTATTATATATGCATTCCCACTATTAAGATGCATAATACAATGGCCTATCTATTTTCTTCTGATTGAACTGGACAGGCATGTACTTGAAACTAATACTAAATTATCAGTCAAGCTTCTTCAAGGCAATCTCATATATTGAATATTTGTTCAACTACATAACAAGCCCAAAATAAGTCTTATTAGCATTGGGCTTCATTTTCCATTCTTTGAAGTGTTACCCCACATGTGAGGGAACTTATCTCATATCATTGAAACTGTCATTCTATCTCTCAAAGTGAAAAAGGTCAAAGATGTTAATTTTTTCTAATTCGTCTACTAGTTTCTTTAAGTCGTGTGAACTTAAAATGCTCCCTAACATATTGATTTTCATATTATAATTTCTTCAAATGCCTATAAGTTAATGGCATGTGAAAGCTGAAATTATCTTTCCTTCATATGACTAATTGTTAAATTTTTTTAACCCTACTATTACTAATACATGCATTATTTATCTACAAAGTTTAGTTAGTTTAAGTGTCTAGTATAAATATAATTATAATGGTCAAATTGTTAGTATAGAAGAAAATCAACAAAATGAAGCATGGTTACCTTAAGGAAAATAAAGACCATAGCATAATTTGAACATTGAAATTATACACTATCCTAAGAAGATAAAACAATTACGTCAAATGATAAACAATTTGGTAGAAAATTAAAAGCACAGCTTGGACATGGACCCTCTCATCACCATATTTCATAACTAGCCCTTTGGAAGTGTTCTCATAATCTCTAATGATAGCTTTCTTGCTTGAATATACCTTCTTTCCCATTTAACAGGTACAAGTGTCATGTGGTTAGAGATATCACACAATCTCTGATTGTCATCAATCATTATAGATGGACAATTGTTAATAGGTTTAGTAGGGGCACTAACATTTGTGAACACCTAGCTGTCAAAAAGATCCACGATGAACTGGACATCCTAAGCTGCATGGAAAAAAATTTACTAATTGTTAATAAATGAATATAATAATATCTCAAGTACATATTTAGGTAATGCATTTTGACAATTCATGTGCAAATCTCTTGTGCTCCTTGTGCATTTTCAGCTAGATTGAGCTAGACTGGTCTCGTAGTGCTTTGGATATCACCTTTCTCAAGTTTTATGATATCGTTAGAGTCTTCTTTAGAAAAAATATCCTCTATCTCCCAAAGGGGCTAGTAATATCCGGGTGGTGAAGTCAGGACGTCGAGGTTAGACCATTGCCCCGGAATCATCGCTACAGCAGGCCATAACTTATCTTGTACTCAACTTAATCTATAATACACCAATCCACCCTAGATATAATCCTAACTAAAAGCATTCAATCAAACAACCATGACCCACAATAAAAATTTACCACACTTTACAACACAAACCAAACAAAACAGTGCACTATTAAACACGATTCACAAGTATTAAACAATAATCAATCATTATGCATCATAATAATAAATACAGTGCACAAGAACAAAGTCAGAACCTTTGCTCTAATACCAAAAAGTATAACACCTCCTTTATTACACCATTATATGTCAAATGGAATCATTATAATGCATTTCCAAATGTTTCGGGATGAAAAATTCCAAACTTCAAAATTTCACATTTAATTCTATCCGTACAATGTTCATCAGAAATTAGGACAACTTTGAAAATTCATAACTAATTCTAGAAATATTGAAACAGGATAGTTCTAATTTTCATATGAAGCTTGCTAAGAGTTTTATAGAAGAAAAATATTCATTAGGCTCAATTTCATCCAACGTAGCACTAGAAAATTCGATAAAGGGCACTATTCATATGGTTAATTTTTGAAATTCTAATATTTTCGCCCAACTTTGAAAGGGCATAACTCTTAGCACAAAACTTCAATTTTAATGGTTTACCGCTTATTTTAGGCTACAAATAAGATCCATTTGCCTGTAAAATTTCACGCCCAAAGTCCAACAATTTCTCATTATTTTATTTATCACAAGTTTAGCTTCTTTTAGGGTATTTTTATCCCCTAATTCCATTTTCTTGAATTGATTCCTCTCTTTCCTCCTTTCACATCCTTTTAAAATTGTACCATTCAATGTTCCAATAGTAAGACATGTCATAACAACACAATTTGCATCTTATCATTATCCATAATTCACTACAACGTAGCATAAAGTTCATTAAACATTACATAGCATAACATAATGATATTAGTTCCATAATGCTCTTCTATCCCAACACCAATTCCTTGCTTTGATCCATGGATGAGCCATTCCCTATGTGAGGTATAATTCAACATAGGAGGAATGAGATTTTATGAAAATCTTAGTAGTAATTGAATTACAATTATCATGCAAATCAAGCAAGTTACAATGTGACATGTTATAGAACTTCAAGACATCCTCCAGTCACATAAAATCATGCTTTGTCTCATGCTAGGAGAGGAACATCTACACTTCCATATTAACACAGTTCAATGCATTTGGCAAAAGCATAAACCAAGGTTATTCAACCAACCAAAATCACAACACAAGTTTTTCAATCCAATCAAACAACAAATCACACTAAACAAGCAAAATATACAATCAAATTATAATTCAAAACTACCTTTTATTACTTGATCAACTTGGTCTCCTTAAGGGATAATGATTCTCCTTGTCTCTTCCTCACAAAGCCTATTAAATCAAGCACAAATATAGGCTATATTAATAACCAATAACTTAAATAGGATCCTTTAACTTTAACTTAACAATTTCCCTTTTTTCTTGAATTTTTAACAAAATAATTCTTCTTTTAGAATCTATAACCTCATGACTCATTTCTACACAATTTTTTGTAAGGAATTCACATATGGAATTATATTTTTGAAAATCAAACTCCTTCCCCTTGAAATCACTGTGGCCAAATAAGGGTATATAACTTTCAAAGATTCTATTTTTGATTCCAATGATTTTAAACACTTTCCAACAACATATCTCTATGCAAAAACACATTTTAAACCCATTGGAATCATTAAATCAAGCCAAAACAATTTGCTTCTGTATGAATAGTACTAGGCCAAAATGAACCCCTAGAATTGTAACTTGGTTTTCTTTCAAAAATCAATCCATACCCCACTTATACATGCTTATTCCACTTGGTATTTAAGGTCTCTATCCTTCTCTAACATCACATGAATGGACCAAAAATTTGGCAGCATATACCCTTGATTTTACAACTCAAAATCTTAACCAAATTAATGCAGAACTTAGGGATAAGGAGGCTTAAACATACCTTGACGGTTCCCTAGTAAAAACTAAATGATTCCTTGTACAAACTCCTCTCAAATTTTGGTAGAGTGATCAGATTTCACTTGAGCAAAACCTCCCCTTATTTTCTCTATTTTCTCACAATTTTATGTATTTTAGGAGGGGGTATTTATAGAAAATCTGATTTACCCCCCTTCTATTGGCCAAAATTGGGACACCTCAAGGGGTGTATGTGGCAACCATCAATAGCCAAAAGAATTAGATCATCACAAGTGGCCAAAATCCAGATTTTTCCATAGCTTTGACTAAATACTTTTTGATATTCTCTGACTCCGAAAATTCATTCTTTTGCATCATTCACTCCTTTTTTTATTGAGGAAAATTTCTCTAATTTTTTTAGACCAAAACCCAACATGTAGATTTCTCTTTTAAAAATTTCATGGATACCCCTACTTTTGTAAATTCAATTTTAGATTATTTTAAAGCAAACCTCTTTGCTTCCAAGGGCTAGGAATAATTTTAAAATCTTACATAATTTCTTAAATAATTAATTCTTATTACTGTCTAATTATTTGACACCTTCTCATATTTTTAAATAATTAATTTTTACTAATTTTTTTGTTAATTAGCCAAAATTCTCAAAATTAGCCAATTTACTAAAAATCCATTTCATAGACATTTTCATCATTTTTAACCTTAAATAGGCCTTAACACCTTATTTCTCTTTTTTTTTTGGAATTTTTGGGTATATTTTCTATCATTACTCATTTCGATCCATAACTTTTCAAAATTATAATAAATCCCTACTAAAGTTTAGCCTCAACAATCATCCCTTTGAGGTTTCTAGCATAAATGTAGGCTCACACTCATCCTTATTTCTCTTACTCAATTCCAGAGGCTTTATTATAGCCTCTAACTTTCTTATCTCTTGGTCCTAAATTTTTTTTTTTTTTTACAATTTAGCTCCTAAGAATCTTTCTATCCTTTCATGGAATTTCTGAGATTCTATCTAAAAAGGGTCTGGTAGTGATAGAACCCAATCTTTACATGGTTTTCTTAAGTATTTTCTGATGTTTTGCAACACTTTTGCCCTCATTTTACATGTATTTATATCCTTTTGATTATATCAATTCATGCATTGTATTTTGCTTGTTTGAGGGTAAAACGGGTCAATTATCTCATCCAAACTGTAATTGCCTTGATCTTTAATCAGTTTAATCTTTACAAAACTCTTTGTTATTGTTTTTAGGAATTTGGAGCAGGATTTAAGACCCAAGATGGAGCATTGAAGGTGCCACAAGTTTATGAGAGCTAAAACACAAGATTGGAGTGCTTCTGTGTCCCCAAGTCACGACTCAGACTTCTGAGGTCACAACCTAGATGCTCTTTAAGTGACACTACGCGTTTTGGAGCTAGGTCAAGATTGAACGTGCCTCTGTGTTCCCAGGTTATGACATGGCTTTTTAAGGTCGCGACTTGAACGCGTTTAGTGAAGCTGTGCATTTTGGAGTAGGTTATTCTGCAACTAGACTTAAGGGAAGGCGTAGCCATGAAAAGGAGATCCTCCATACTGCAAATTTGCAACGTTAAAAGCCTCAACCATTTTCTCTCAAGACTCAATTGATCCCATATCTCAAACTTCTATTTTTCTTCATTTCTCTACTGTTTTCTATGATTCTGAACCGATTAAATCACTTCCACCATCTTCTTCTCTATTGTTCCAACCCTCTTTTTAGCATTACTCATGGCTAAACACACTTGGAGCAATTGTGACAAGTTTAAAGACATGAGAGGCTAAATCATTAGCCTCTTAGTGATGGAGGACGAAGCTTGAGCTCAAGAATATAATAGGGGAGTTTTCTTAGTCTAAATCTATGCTTAAATTTGTTTTGGACATTTCTAGATTTTCTTTTTCAGTAGCGGTGTAATTTCTTTGAGCTGCATCTAGGGTTTTAGAAGCATAGGCAATTACTTTAGAAGCAGAACCATCCCTTTGACCCAAAATTACCCCCGCACTTAAATTTGAAGCATCACATGAAATTTTAAAAGGCAATTCCCAGTTACGAGAGGTTAAATAGGAGGAGTAGCTAGCCTATTCCTCAATTCATCAAAAGCTAACTCTACATTCATGATTAAATTGAAAATCAACATCGTTTTACAACAGTTTAAAAAGAGGTAGAACAATTTTACTAGAGTCTTTGATGAATCTTCTATAAAACCTTGCATGTCCTAAAAAGGATCTCAACTGTTTCAAGTTGGTAGGATAGGGCAAAGAAGAAATCACCTCAATTTTAGTGTTATCTACCTCTATTTCTTTATCAGAAATCAAATGACCTAGAATGATGCCATGATTAACCATAAAATGGCATTTTTAATAATTCAAAAAAAAGCTTTTTCTCAATACATCGTGCTAGAATTTTGTCAAGGCTTTGTAAACACTCATCAAAATAATTGCCATAAATAGTGAAATCATCCATAAACACATCCATTCATTTTTCAATAAACTCAACAAAAATAGATAACATGCAGCGTTGGAATGTGCCAGGCACATTACAAAGACCAAAAAGCATTCTTTTATAAGTATAGGTTCCAAATAGACAAGTGAAAGTAGTCTTATCTTGGTCTCTAGGGTCTATAGGAATTTAAAATTACCTGGAATACCTATCTAGGAAACAGTAAGACTCTTCCCCACTAACCGTTCAAGTATTTGATCAATAAAAGGTAAGGAAAAGTGATCCTTCCTAGTGGACTCATTCAACTTCCTATAGTCAATACAAACTCTCCATAAGTTTTGCATCTTAGTTGGTATAAGTTCATTATTCTCATTCTTGACTACTATGATCCCACTCTTCTTTGGTACAACTTGTACCGGTGACACCCACTCGCTATCAGATATAGTGTTTATGATTCCAGCTCTTAAAAGTTTATCAATTTCTTTCTTGACCACATCAAAAATTAGAGGATTCAACCTCCTCTGGTTTTGTTTAATTGGTTTGGAACCCTCAGTTAACAAAATCCTATGGGTGTAAATAGTAGAGTCAATCCCCTTAATATCAGCTAATTGCCAACCCAAACCCTCCCTATTCCTACTAAGTATACTCATCAAACTGGACTTTTCACTCTCAGTCAAGGAATTAGAGATAATGACAGGCAATTTACTTTCCATATCCAAATAAGCATCCTTAAGATTTGGGGGTAAATCTTTGAGTTCCAAAGTTGGCTTTGGGCAATCAAGATAATTAGAGTAGGAGTATCAATAGAGTTAGAGAAACTCCCCTTTGTCGACTCTTAGGAAGTGTACTTGTTAGCCTCACTTGGATCTCTTACACTCTCCTTAGTTCTCTTAGAAGTTGCACTGAGCTCAAGAGAGTGTAAATGATTAAGAGTTAGGTCAGAGAGTGTTGGCTCTTTAACCAAAGTATCCAAAACATGAGATGGTGGAGCTATTGAAGGTTGAAGTTCAATTATTACAGCAAGGGGCTTAGGTCGCGACCTTACTATACCAGGTCGTGACCTCACTTCATAGAGGCCGCCTTCTTAACAGGGTTGATTTGAAGTCGCAACTTAGGATTCCTCAGGTCGTGACCTCATGTCACAGAGACTGGATTCTTCGAATTGTACTCTACTCTCAGCATCCATCATGTCTTGTACACCTGTAAAATTAGCCAAAGGATCTTTTCCAAAGGCAATATCACTCATGAATGAAGAAATAGAATCAAAATTTAAAGACAAAGAAAAATCTTGGGAAATGGAAAGCATGCTATCATTTTCTAAAGAGTTAATGCATGGCACCTCACTCCCACAAGAGCTTGAAAATGAATAAACAGAAGAAAGGAAATTGAAATATTCATCATAGGCACTCAAAGAGGAGTTTAGCTTAAAGGATTCATATGATGTTTTAGGAGAAGAAGCCATCAAATTTGGTGA